CTCAGTAACTGAGGATATTTTTCCTATAGGAAAAAGTAATACTCAGTAATTGAGGATATTTTTCCTATAGGAAAAAGTAATACTCAGTAATTGAGGATATTTTTCCTATAGGAAAATGTCATCCTCAGTAACTGAGGATATTTTTCCTATAGGAAAAAATCATTTTCAGTAACTGAGGATATTTTTCCTATAGGAAAAAGTCATCCTCAGTAACTGAGGATTTTTTTCCTATAGGAAAAAGTCATCCTCAGTAACTGAGGATTTTTTTCCTATAGGAAAAAGTCATCCTCAGTAACTGAGGATTTTTTTCCTATAGGAAAAAGTCATGCTCAGTAAATGAGGTTTTTTTTCTATTTATATTCTTATTGGAAAAAGTCATCCTCAGTAACTAAGGATTTTTTTCCTATAAGAAAAAAATGAAAAAAAATCGTAGTCACTCTCCCTTTAATATTTATTGCATAATTTATTGCCGTTGGCATAATTTATTACCTTCATTATCTTTTTATCTGCAAACATTGTATATTTTATTAAAGAGTTAAATTACCCGCCCTGCCACGCACAAAAAATCCCCCGCTTGTAAGCTCCGACATATATATTAGTGTTCTCATGGAAATGAAGTCATTATCACAGTATGCCTTTGATATCGGCTTAAAGCTTCATTATCTTAACATGCTGGGCACCAAAGCCCATTACTACAATCCACACACAGAGTGCGGTAGCAGGAACATCGACAGCAGAATCAGAAGCAGCAGTGGAAGTGTCATCATCGTTTGAATCATGCAATGACTTTGACATTTTCAAAGGAACTGTATTAACCGGGATTTAGGGTTTTCGAACTTACATACACTCACTTATCCACGCATACACATTCACCTCCCACCCTCTCATACATTCACAATGAACTTATACGTTCGTACATTTAAAGGATAAAGAGTTTCAATTTATGTCACAAGTTTAAGTGAGTGTGGGTCTTCGACAATTTTGTTGTTGCTGTTCTTCTTCTGTTCTCTTTGCATTCTAATGAAAGTCAATTCCTTGTCAGTTTTCTTTTTTCTCCTTCTAAGCCCTAACAATTCGTACCAAGCATATGTCACTACTTCTACTACTTTATTAGATGGTACTTGCCTTGTCATTAAGTTTGTTGACTATTACTTTTCTTCTTGCCTTGTCTTGTCTTTCTTTTCTAATTCCTTGTTATGTACTACCTATCTTACCTCTACAATCTTGAGTTTTAGTTAGAGATTAAATCTTTGAGGTAAATTGACTTTATTGTAACATGATTGACAATGAACTTATCATGTGATGTGTGTCACACTGAACAAATTTTCCTATAAGAACATTTTCCGACTTGACTGAGGGAAAAATCCTCAGTGACCAAAAAAAGACCTTTTCCCATAGGAAAAATATGCTCAGTGACTTAGCATGACGTTTTCCTATAGGAAAAAGTCCTCTGTGAATGACGACAACTTGTTCCTATAAGAAAAAAAATCCTCAGTGACTAAGACTTTTCCTATAGGAAAAATCCTCTGTGACTGAAGAAGACTTTTTCCAATAGGAAAATATTCCTATATTCTTCAGTTGAGGATAAATTTTTCCATTTGTAAAAAATCCATAATGACGGAAGAAGTCATTTTCCAATAGGAAAAAATTCTACAGTAACTGAAAAAAACTTTTTCTAATAGGAAAAAATACCTAAGTAACTGAGGAAGACTATTTCCATTACTGAGAATTATCCTCAGATATTGAGGAAGCCTTTTCCTATAGCGCCGATAAAGATTTTTTTCTTATAAGAGAAAATCCCCAGTGACCGAGAAATATTTTGTTCCCATTGGAAAAATTCTATAGTTGAGAAAAAACGTTTTCATATAGGAAAAAAATCCTCAGTGACTGACGATGAATTTTTTCCCTATAGGAAAAAAATCCTCAGTTACTGAGGATGAATTTTTCCTATAGGAAAAGAATCCTCAGTGTCTAAGGATGACTTTTTCCTATAGGAAAAAATCCTCAGTGACTAAGGATGACTTTTTCATATAGGAAAAAATCCTCAGTTACTGAGAATGACTTTTTCCTATATGAAAAAAATTCCTCAGTTGCTGCGGAGGATGACTTTTTCCAATAGTAAAAAATTCCACAGTTGCTGAGGATGACTTTTTCCAATAGGAAAAAAATCATCCGTTACTATAGAAAAAATCTTTAATGAGGATAACTTTTTCCTATAGGAAAAAAATTACTCAGTGACTGAGGAAGACTTTTTCCTATAGGAAAAATCCTCATTGGCCGAGGGTGATTTTTTCCTGTTGGAAAAAAATCCTGACTGAGGAAAACTTTTTCCAATAGGAAAAAAACCTAATTAACTGAAGAAGACTTCTTTCCTATAGAATAAATTCTTAGTGAAGGATATTTTCAAATTGGAAAATACTTGGTGATTGAGAAAAACTTTATTCCAATGGGAAAAAATTCCTAGGATAATTCCTTGCCAGCAGAAAAAAACATATTGCCCTAGGTGGACTTTTCCAATGAGAAAGAAACTCTCATTGATGAATAAATATTATTTCCTATTGGAAACATTTTTCCTATTAGAAATAATTCCTTAGTCACTGAGGAAGACTTTTTCCTATAAGAAAATAAGCCAGCAACTTATTATGAGTTTTTCCTATTGGAAAAGAAATCATCAGTGGTTCAGAATGACGTTTTCTGATAGGAAAAAATAGATGTCTCTTGACGATTATATTTCCCATAAGAACTATATTTGTCTTTAAAAAAAAAAAAACGATTGGGGCACTAAGAAAATTATTTTTAAAATCAGAAAAAATTCCTCAGCCATAAGACCATTTACTATAGAATGGTGATTTCCAATTCGAAAAATGTATTAGTCTCTGACGACGACATTCTCCATTCAAATGAATTCCCCCTACAGAGTAAGGAAAAAACTGGAAAATACTCGTTAACTGAGAATCAATTTTTCTTATTGGAATAAATTCTTCAGAGAATGACTTCTTCCAATTGGAAAAAAATACATATTGACTAACAATGACTTTTTTCTATTAGAAAAATTCCTCAATTACAAAAGATGATTTGTTCCAATAGGAAAACAATTCCCATTGGCTGGGAATGGCTTTTCCAGTTGGTAAAAATCTCTTTGGTGACTGAGGATGACGTTTTCCCAAAAAATGTTCCAATTGGAAAAAAAACCCACATTAAATAAGAACCACTTTTCCTTTTAGAATAAATTAATCAATAATTGTGCAAGATTTTTTCCAATTGGAAACATTTCATTTTGACTAATAATCTCTTTTTCCCATTAGAATAAATTCCTCAGGCACAGAAGAAGGGTAAAAATTGACTGCTTTTTACAGTTGGTAAAAATTGCTAACCTATAGAGAACGGTCTTTTCGTATTGGATAAAAATTTTGCGGTAACTGCGGTAATTTTAATGGGAAAAAATTCTCAGACCCTGAGGATGAAAAATATTTTTATAATTAGTTAAAAAAATATTGTAAAAATGTAAAAATTTTGTAAAAACCTGAGGATAAAATATCAGCGACTGATTGTTTTCTTATTGGAACAGTATGTTATTAGAACAGTATTATATCTTTCCAATTAGAAAAAAATCGTTTTTGCTGATTGCATATTAAAGGGGAAGGCCACGAATTAGATGGAAAGACCAAAAGACCAAGACTTGCGCACAAGACCGACGCGCTTGGAAATCTTTTTTCAGCTCGGCTTATGGAACAACCGTTCTGTAACAAGCCAGCTAAGTAAGTAAGTAATATTAAACTCTATTATGTTGGAATTAATATTTTTATTCAGAAAAATTAATCCAATTGATATAAATTCTCAGAACTGAGGATGATTTTCTCCCAATTGGAAAATTATTTAAATAATATTTTTCTTATTGGAATATTATTTTGATGATTATTTATTATTGGGAACAACTTCTCAGTGTATTAGATTTTGTCTGAGTTTGTCTTAAATTTTCCAATTAGAAAAAAATGATTTTTTCTGATTGTATGTAAAACTCTATCTTGTTGGAATTTAAATTATTTCTTTAAGGAAAATATATCCTATTGAAATAATTCTCAGAAATGAGGATGATTTTTATCCAATTGGAAAAAAAAGTTAATGAATTTTTTTCTAATTGAAAAAATATATTGATAATTTTCCCCATTGGAAAAAAGTCCTCAGTGTTTTTTCTGATTGGAAAAATCATTTTTTCTGATTGAGAAAAACCTTTTCTCTGATTGGAAAAATCGTTTTTTCTGATTGCATTAAAAAATTATATCATGTTTTCTTTAAGAAAAATATATCCAATTAAAAAATCAGAAATGAGGATATTTTTTCCAATTGGAAAAATATGTTAACTATTTTTTCTTATTGGAAAAATATTTTAAAGATTTTATCACAATTAGGAAAGATTTCCCAATGTATTGAATTTTTTTCTGAGTGTATCTCAACCTCTATCGTCTGACATACTCTTTCATATGTATCATATATTTGTATGTATGTGTGTATATGTTCGCCTCATCAAAAGGTGTCTTCTTAGACATTTGGATGGCTAAGTGGGTTAGTAGTTCCATTGTTAATTTGTGTCTTGTTATGTTGTTGGGGCTATTCAGGCTTATTCTTATTCTATTCATGTTGTCGCAACTAATAGTGATGACAATGACGACGGCGGCGGCGCTGACAATGCTGATGATGATGACTTTTATTTTTGTTTACCGCAAAAAAAAGAAATAAAAACTTTTGGTGGTATTCGATTTATTTTTTATGGAGTATTCTTTTGATTGACTTGAGCATAGTTTTAGTGGCAAACGATATAACCTCTTAAGGTAGAGGGGAGATAAAATATCAAAAGAAATCAAAACCATACTTGATCATTTAAGAAAAGTGAATGTGATTTTGGTTTTCTTAGAACTTATTATGGAGTAACCCATATGTTATAATTTGATATGAATTTATTCACATTTCATTAATGTCCCTCTTCTTCTTTTCCATTTCAGATCAACTTACGTTTAATACTTGTCAGTGGCAAAACAAAAGAATTCCTATTTAATCCAACGGATTCGGCTGGTGATATAGCACAAACAGTATTCGACAATTGGCCAGAAGGTAAGCAAGCAAGCAGCACAATCAAGTGATGAGACAAAAAAAAAAAATAAAAATAAATAATTTACTGATAATATCATGGCAATTATGTGGCAAGAAAAAAATCGTCCCAGAAGGTTATTCTCTAAATAAACATTTTGAAAATTGCAAATTGTCGTGTTCCGCACCACGATACGAACGAAGGGAATTGAAATATATTTCCCTTTTGGCGTGCGGAGCCACCTTATTGTTATCATTTGCATTTCATAAGGCCAAATGGCCGGCAATGATTATGTCGACGACAACAACAAACAAATTTGCGAACACAAACACAGGCACATACTCATTATAGCCCATATAAAGACTGCAAAACGCACACAAAAACAACTAAAGGCTGGGCTCAAGAGGTCAAAGAGCATTTACATACACTCATACCCACTCACATACATACATACATACGTAGTCACTCACTTTTCTACAGTTGATGTGATGTTTTGTAAATATCCTCTTGGGTACACTTTCTAATTATGTTCATCGTTTTCCCCCTTTGTTGTCCTCTCTCCCTTCCTCTGCTATTGTTTTTGTTGTTCAGTGCCTCGGTTCTGTTTGACATTTATGTATGTAAATTGAGGTTTTGTTTTTTTTGTTTTTCTAAAGAACAGCCAGAACCACAAACGCCACCAGCTTGATGGGTAATTGCAGTGCTAAAATATATGTTAATGTCACCAAATGTCAAAGGAATGGGGTACTTACATAGGCCGCAGGCATTTTAATAATGATGCGAACCATAAAATAAATATGACATAAATACGATAAGAGCTATCGGATTTTTAAAAATGAGAATTATTATTGGAACTTTTATTAAAAAAACATAGAATGTAAAAATGTCCCTAGGTTCGGGCGGCCGAACCTTGTATACCCTAACCATGTAATGTGCATTCAAATTTCCTTATATCGATCGGGGCCTTACTTTTATTGGATTTTTTGCCTAGGATCTTAATGTTTACGAAAACTATACGGAACCTTTGTATATCTGTTATGACTCAGGAAGGTAGCTTTTTATTCACCAGGAATCCGTAGAGCGAAATTACAGCCACTTCAGTGGAAAAATGCGACTAAAACTTTCAATGTCGAAATATAGCAACTTTTCAACAAACATATTTTTCTTCTTCCTGGAACTTTAAATATTTCAAAAAGACACTTCAAAGTACAGGAAATGGGCGGGGACCTTCACATTGACTTATATATCCATATTTTCGCGAGATCTGTTTTAATCCATCTAAAACACGGAATGCCAAATTACACATATGTCGTGCTATGTCGGAACATGGACCTATATCGGACATATCCGTTGTCAAAATATATACCTATATCGCAAAGTTTCAGCAGATATGTTTTTCTCCCTCCTGGAACCCTAACTACCTCAAAAAGACACTTCGGTAGAAAATGCGATTAAAACTTTCAAAGTACAGGAAATATGGGACCTTTCCCTTTACATGGACTTTATTCAAAATTTTTTTCGGCAGATTTGTTTTCACCCTCCTAGAACACAGAATGCCAAATTACAGTCACATCAATATAAATATGCTGTCAAAACCTTTAAAATAGAAAGGTATTTTCCAATTGGAAATAATCCACAATGACTGAGAATCACTTTTTCTTATTGGAATAAATTCTTAAGGAACGGAGTATGACTTTTTTCTATTAGAAAAAATACATCACTTTTTCCTATTAGAATAAATTCTTTAGCCACATAAGAGAATTTCTTCCAATAGGAAAGTCCTCATTTATTTGAGAATTATTTTTACCGTTGTTGAAAATGCCAAACTCATAGGGAACGACCTTTTTGTATTGGATAAAAATTGGCATTAGGAAAAATTCTCGGTAACTGAGGATAACTTATTTTGATAGGAAACAAATTATTGGCCCCTGAGGAGGGACAACATTTCTGAAATTAGTGACATAAATATTAAAAAACGGTAATATGGAACGAGCCATTATATGAGGACGGGAGGAGCTATGACAGAATATGGACATAAATTCCCTCGAGGAACCCTAAGTGCCACACTACGATCACTTAATGGGGGAAATTCTAGTAAAACATTGAAAATACAGGAAATTTTTTTCGCAAGATTTGTTCTCACCCTCCTAGAATACGAAATGCAAAATTATCAGTCTCTTCGGTTGGAAAATTGACCGAAAACTTCATAATTCCGAACATGTCAGAATATGGACCAATATTTATGTAAATTTTCTACAGAGAAGTATCTCTCCCTCCAGGAACCATGAATGCAAAGCAATGACCACATCGAAAGTAAGGAGTGAATTTTATATGACGCTGTGTACACACAAGGATCAAAATTTCAAGATATCGAAAATAGTCGGGACTTTGGTATGTGGACTTCACCATAGCACATACATATATTCAAATTTATCTGGGGTGAAGATGGTTTTCCCCTCTAGAAACCCTGAATGCCAAAGTACTGACATATAGGGCGTGACCTTAATATGTAAGATAGGTGTGACCTACATTGAACATTTCCTCAAGCAACGTATGACATCCTCCAAGAATCCAGAATGTCAAATTAAAGCCACATCCGTGTCAAGATGCGGCTGACACTACCAAAATTCCTGAAAAATTGTATATCACCCTCCAAGAGCCCAAAATGTCAAATTACAGTTATTCGGTGGCAAAGTGATACTTCAAAATCCCTGAAATGGTTCGGTATTTTGTAATTCCAAACATCTTACGAGTATTAGCAGCGTATGTGCAAAATTTCAATGTCCATCATGAATATTGTAATGCCTACTGTAACCGGCAGAGGGATCTGATGTCTTCGACAAATATTTCGATGTGTTGAAAACAGTATCGATCATCGATCGTTCTTTTCGTTATTTTATCCCTAGAACCTATCAGTATCCCATCAGACCTAAGCTAATGAGGATATATACACTTTGATTCGATTAGATATCGGTTTAATACCCCAAGTGTCTGTGGACCAGATCCGTTAAAAAAATGATTCGAACTTGTTATATTTTTATAAAACTTAAGTCATGTTTGTTGGTAGGGAAAAGAGGTCCACAATTATTCTTGTTTGTCCTCACAATAAAGCCGACAATAAACATCGAAGGCTCAAAAAGTAGTTTGCTGTATTTTATTTTTTAAACTCTAATCCTTATTGCTTATTTCGGTTTTAGAGTACAATTGTTTTAGGACCAAACCTCCAATTTAGAATGGCCCGTCCATCCAGCAAGTGGTTTGGTAATTCTGCAACGAAGTAAGATGGCTACTATTGAGACACTCTGGTATTTGGAAGCGTCAACAGTATTTCCGGGCGACGAATATCAGTGACCATCTATTTTTTCTTTATTCTTAAGCAGAGTTTTAAAAAAGTCACTGGCAGTTGACACATAAATTCCATGTTTTGGCCTCTCAAAAGCCGCTGATTTGAGTCGAGTTCGCAATATCATGGTGCAAAATTACTCATCTTATTTTTGTTCGTTTTTATACGAAGTTTCTTTGGACCAAATCCGTTTCAGACAATTTGGAATTACAAATGTCTGTCTGGCCAAAATATAGTTCATGTTCGAAGTTGGGCAATATCGGTTCACTCTTTCTGGTACCACACCCACAAAATGTAGCCGAAATTGGGCAACAAATTAATTTTACCCCATTTGAACCAAACCTGGCACAACTTATTATCATTACCAATCCTAAATGATGTCCGATGAAGGGACCAATTGGTCCACACCTTCTGGTTACTCCCTCACAAATGGTCAATATTTACAAATCGAAAAATAAAAAATGTTCTTTTTGGTCAGTAACAAAAATCAAAAAGTCTAAAATTGTAACGTGGTTTTCTCGTTGGCTGAGGTTAGCCCAGTCGTGTCCAAGGTCTCCATAGGGACCCACAAAACCTTATTGATTAAAAAGACTAATGTCTTCCTTTTGGGGTTAAAATCTAATGTTTATTGATTTTAATACTAGTGTGTTTATATATAAATATGCGATACAAATAATTGATTTCGGATGGCTTAATATGCTGGTGATTATCGGGAGCGGCTACGACGATTTAACGGTGATCGGGAATGATGGTTGTCGGGAGTCAGAAACGATGATTGGCAATGATGTTTCAACGGTGATCGGGAATGGTGAATGTCGGAAGCGGCTACGACGATTTAACGGTGATCGGTGATCGGGTGATCGGGCAGACCGAAGTCTCTGTGTGCAACAGTAGACCGAAGTCTCTGTGTGGAACAGTAGACCGAAGTCTCTGAGTGGAACAGTAAGCCGAAGTCACTGTGTGGAACAGTAAGCCGAAGCCTCTGTATGGATGTATTTATGTAGCCGCCACAATCGGTAGACACCCAAAAGAATTGTGAATAATCGTAAGTGCAATGAACATTCACAACACAAAATAGGAAGCCTATGCAATTGGCAAGCCGCCCTCAGTAGATGAAAGTGAAATACTTCAGTTTGCGGAGTCACAACGTAAATGAGAATTATATGATAGAGTAGCTGACGCGAGTAAATGCTTATGCACTCGTTCCTAGTACTCATGGGGACGTCATGCGAGGTCGTTGCTATGATGGGTGACGTTTTGTATGTATGTGGCTTTTGACACGTTACAAAATCGAGGTTTGCGTTCGGGTATGTATCCTTAGTTCCAACAAATGTCGGGGTAACCTAATATATCGGTTTCTGAGATAATAAAATACCTCGAAAATGTTTATTTGTTATTTTCTTTAGCAAGAAATCCTTTCTTTAGTTGCAAGTTTTATTTTCCTGTAGGAGTTACAGAAATAACGCCCACAGGTGGACACGTTTCGGTTGGAAAAGTTACCCCAAAATTTTTCGGTTTATTAAGCACTATCAAACCTTACACAAAATTAAAAAGCACACATTTAAATCATTTTAAAATGTTTTTCCATTCCCCCCTTCCCCCTTTCTTTGGGAAGAGAAAATCAAAACATGTTCACTGCATGACAAGTTAGTATTTTGTAATTTTTCTCTTCACCATTCA